CTTTCCCTAAAACTAATTGTAAGCTCTAGAAAGAAATGTTTTTGAACAGTCCTCTCCCCATTTTGTTCCTCACCTGCGCTATCTTGATAAAATCAATGACAGCATTAAATAGGAATAGAACGTCCATAGAGGCAACTGGAAAAGTGTTTGCATGGAAGTAACAGATTAAATAAATATCAGCAGGAATGGTTAAAGTTAAATGGCAAAGATACCTCTTTCTCTTGATGCTTTCCTCAGACATTATTCAGTGCCAGAGACAAACTGGTGGCAAAGTAGGAACTGCCAAGTACACAGATCAAGGCTTTAAAAAGTGATACCCAAGTGTTTATTACAGAATAACAAGGAAATGTGAATTTTCTTTTAAATTCCATTCTTTTATTATTCCATTTGTCCTGAAAAAAATGTAAAGATTTCCAGATCCTTCTAAAATTCTCTTTTCCCTAAAGGTCTACTTCAAGGCTAAAGTACTTGATAGTCCTACCAAACCATTACTGTCCTATTAATCTAACACTTGTGTTGTACCAGATCTTCTTCATGAAGGTGAGCTGCTGTCATTTTGATGACCAGGAGTCAAGAAAACTTTCTGAAATACTCAAGTGGTTCATATACAGCGAATTATTTTCTGAACCCTATGTATTTTAATAAAGAAAGTTACCACTTTTTTTTTAATCAGAGATTATTATTTCCTCTGTGTTTCCATTTTAGATCAGGAAGAACCATCATTTTTCAAGTCTTTCTATCAAGGATATCCATCCAATTAGTCCCAAAACTCAATCTGCTCCCATTGGCGGGGAGATGAAAGAAACAGCTTAGAAAAGCCATATGAATTTCCAAGTTATTCTTCAGGATGTGAATTTTGAAGTTATTTTTTAAATTAGGATAAGTTTATCCTATTTTTCTCTTCTTAAAATGAATTTGATATAAAATAAATAGGAAAAAATCAGGTTGAAGACTCTGATTATCTTTCTTCATGATAGAAAAAACAAAATGAAAGTGCCTATGTTAAGTGTCAGTTTACGAAAAAGGCCTCGAAACTCTAATCTTCTCTACCTAAGTGGGTAATATTAGAACGTCTTCAACCGAAACCCAAACACTCCCAGTTCACAAAGTATAAACAGTGCTGCTACTATATAATGGGCTTAACATGAATCAGAGGAGTCCCCCACACCCCTTCACCCACCTCCCATCCATCCCCTTTTACCCCCCTGACCCCCCCAACCCAAGCACAATGACCACTGACATACAGTCAGCCCTCCACATCTGTGGGTTCTGCATCTGTGGATTCAAACAACCACGGACTAAGGCCGGGCGCTGTGGCTCACGCCTGTAATCCTAGCTCTTGGGAGGCCGAGGCGGGCGGATTGCTCAAGGTCAGGAGTTCAAAACCAGCCTGAGCAAGAGCAAGACCCCGTCTCTACTATAAATAGAAAGAAATTAATTGGCCAACTGATATATATATAAAAAAAAAAAAAATTAGCCGGGCATGGTGGCGCATGCCCTGTAGTCCCAGCTACCCGGGAGGCTGAGGCAGAAGGATCATCTTTGGTTTTGAACCACTGTGCTAAAGCATGTTGTCTCGGCACTCACTCTAGCCTGGACAACAAAGCGAGACGATGCTTTAAAAAAAAAAAAAAAAAAAAAAAAAAAAACAACCACGGACTGAAAATACTTGGGAAGAAAATAGATGGTTGTGTCTGTACTGAACACGCACAGATCCTTTTTTCCTGTTATTCCCTAAACAATACAGAACAATAATCATTTACATAGCATTTACATTATATTAAGTATTGTAAATAATCTAGAGATGATTTGAAGTATACAGGAGGATGTGCATAGGTTATATACTGATACTATGCCATTTTATATGAGAGACTTGAGCATCCCAGGATTTTGGTATGGAGAGGGGGGGAAGGTCCTGAAACCAAACCCCCACAGATACCAAGGGGAACCATACTAGTTTAGCCTGTTCTTTGTTTTACCAACTTTGCAACCCACAGTAATAATCTCAAAATTAGATACATCCTACTTACCCTACCAGAGAACCACAATTTCAACTCAACACCAAATTTGCTGTTTTCACCTGAGTTGGACTTTTGAGTCTGTTTTCTAGTTGAAAGAAAAACTTAGCATTGAGACCATCTAAAGATAAGCAAAGAAGAAAAAGAAAAACTGTTAAGGAGCAAGAAGAGGAGAGAACTGTCCTGAGGAAGAGTACAGCTTACAGCTGATAATGAAACCAGCTGCCTGGGTGTCAAAAATGATAACAGTTGGGAGAAATGTGACCAGGGCTGTAAAAAAGCACTGATCTTTTAAACAAAAATATCATTCATCAACCATAGACTTCTGAATTAGAAGCATCTGGTATCCACTAAATACAACTCTCAACTTTGTCTGCTCAGGGTTCTTGAGGCTTAATCAGTTTTCAAACCTTCCTGACTACTCATATGTTAGGGTCACTAACATCTTCCTTCCAGCGACTATAGCTTGGGTCTTTGTACCGTCCAGCTCTCACGGAGTGAGCTTCCACTGAAATTCCTCCTAACCAGAAGTTTACAGCAGTGCATTTCCCTGTGGGGGTCCAATCTGGTTTCTTGTCCTGACACTGCTACCCTGGAACACAATCCGAAACTGTCAACAATTTCAAAGACCACTCTCTACTGGAATGAGAAAATCCCTTCAGGCTTAAGCAAGAGCAAGACCCTATCTCTACAAAAAATAGAAAAAGTGGCTGGGCATGGTGGTATGCACCTGTATTCCCAGCTCCTTCGGAACCTGAGGCAGGAAGATCACTTTCAAGGATACCTTGAGCTATAATGAAGCCACTGCATTCCAGCCTAGGAAACAGAGCATGATCCTGTCTCAAAAAAAAGAAAGAAAAAAGAAAATCACCAATAATCCAGTCTATACGTACTTCTGGCCTCAGAAAATATGTTTTGCCCTCATACTTGCTTAATAAAAAGCTTTCCTCTAGCAAATATGAAGCACGATTATCATTCAATTATATTCAACTCATTTTTTCTAATGACACTGGCCCCCACATGTAGAGTAACTTTAAGTACATATTTTCCTCAGTTTCTTTTCTTAAAGCAAAGAAAGATTATACATAGACGGATAATACATACTATAAGATGCTCCACCCTTGTAAAAGCCTCCTTCTGCTCTTTAGAACCTGTTAAAATCTGAATTAATTTGTAGCCTTTTCCTTTTGTTACCTAGTTTTAACAGACACCAGATTATTAGAGATGAGACCCAAATAAACAAAAAACACATACAAAATGACCTGCCAACAATAGTATGAAAACAAGACTGAGAACCCTAATTTCCCTGCCTATGTCTTTACTGGAAACTTTGGTCCTTACACTAGAAAATATAAATTACTGACCTTAAATTGAAAATGAAAAGGGAGTTACACAATAAATATATTTTTGTCATACCTGGCCAATTGTTTTATATTCCATTCTGATTTCATTAAAATATACTTCATATTACATATGGCAAAAGAGAGGCATTCTGTCTCAAAAACAAAACAAAACAAAAAAGAAGCTTTTTTGGTAACAGGAAGAATGATTATCATTAGATTATATGCAACCCATTTATTCTAATGACAGATATTGGCTCCCAAGTATAGATTCACTTTAAGTACATATTTTCCTTAGTTTCTTTTTTCAAACCAAAGAAAGATAATATGTAGACAAGTAACACATACTACAAGATACGATTCTTCATCCTTGTACAAGCCTCCTTCTGCTCTTTAGAACCTTCTAAAATTTTAATAATTAACTTGTAGCCTTCTTCTTTTGTTATCTAGTTTTAATAGACACCAGATTATTAGAAATGAGACCCAAACAAAAAAATCCATACAAAATGACCTGCCAGCAATAGTACAAGAACAAGACTGAGAATCCTAATTTCCCTACCTATGCCTTAATGGAAACTTTGATCCTTACACTAGAAAATATAAATTACTCTGACTTTATATTGAAAATGGAAGAGGAGTTATGCATAAATGTATTTTTGTCATTCCTGGCCAATTGTTTTATATGCCATTATGATTTCATTAAAATATACTTTATAATACATATATGTTGATTCATTTTATCCAGAATGTTCCTGATGATACCTGGAGAGCTCTTCTTTATGTTTCCAGAGGCCAATTAATATTTTTTGTTTTGAAGATGGGGAAAACTCCTGACCTTAAGCGATCCTCCCATGCAAGTAGCTGGGACTATAGGTGTGAGCCACTCTGTCTGACCATGGTATACATCTTCTAACTCCTTATATTCTGCCCATTCATATGCCCCTGTCTTCTTTTCCAAAATATCTTATTCAAATCACAGAGACCCAGACACAATAATGATGACATTATTAAGGCAGCAGCCTTCCCTTTCTGCCTCAAACACACTCAACACTTTAAAGGTGTCATTCCCTAGTCTCTTACTCAAGCACAGATTTCAAACTACTGTCCTTCATTCTCACCAAGCCAACATCCAACTTTTAACCCTAAAGAGGGATTAAACTGTCTTATTCCAAAACTAAATAACTAAACTTATGCCATCTGCACTTTAGCCAAATCTGGCCAGCATGCTGCTACAGTAAGTAAGCAGTGTTCTTTTTCATAAACTCAATGTTTCTCATTTTGTGATTAGTTCTTTTATATATATAATTTTTTTCCAGCATATTATGGGGGTACAAATGTTAAGGTTACATATATTGCCCTTGTCCCCCCCCCCCCCATGATTAGTTCTTAATCATGCTAAGTGTACAAATAGCAGTTTCCTTGAAGGGGAGAATTAGAAGACAAAACAGTCTACCACTGTGGTCTCCCAGATAGCACCAAGAGAACATGAAAGGGATTTTTAAGCCCACAGAAAGGGCATAAATCTGTCAGCAGACACTTGTATTTACCTGCATGGTGAGGAGGCAGAAAATAAAGATGTCTTTGATTCAACAGCACCCACCCAAACTCTTTAGCACTGAAAGTCCAACAGAAAAGATCTTACTTTGCAGTTTCCATTCTCTAAACTTCAGTGAGTCAAAACTGAACCAAAGCTACTAAGTAGCTCTGTAGAGGAATCCAAGGACCACTGCTGATTTCCTAATAGTAAAGTAAGATTAGCTTTACACGAACCTTCCCCAATCCTTAACAAGAAGTGCTGCCAGGCTACCCAGAAATTCCCCTTCTGAGTCCCACAGCCTTTCCGGAAACATGAGAAACCGAGTATGCTGCAATCATGGCCTTTTGGGATTGGGTCCAAAAGAAACTGCCCAGGCCAAGCAAGACTGTAAATGAAATAATGTCCAGTAAAAAAATAAACAGCCAAAGTTCTCAGGTTTCAGTTAGCCCAACACAGTTATCACAGTAAATGACTTAGTACAATGATAATTTCCAACCTTATTTAATAAAACAAACACCCGGCAGAAAAAGCCTCTAGTCACATGTAAATTACACCATATACCCTCAGATCAAAGGTAATGATGTGGATGGAAAGCACAGCCTAAGGTAGGCTTCCTCAAACTACGGATGCGGGCCACATGCAGGTGTTTTTTGCCTGTTTGGTTTTTTACTTCAAAATAAGATATGTGCAATGTGCATAGGAATTTGTTCATAGTTTTTTTTAAACTATAGTCTGGCCCTCCAACGGTCTGAGGGACAGTGAACTGGCCTCCTGTTTAAAAAGTTTGAGGACCACTGGCCTAAGGGTTCACTGGCAATAGGGCATGGGATTCTAAGTAAAGAATAAATAATAAGGTCAGAATTCTTTAGTTTAGAAACTTTAACGGGAAAGAAGGCACATGTAATAATAATAACAAAAACTCCTACATGCCAAGAACTGTTCTAAAAACTTTATGTCTTAATACTCACCAACAACCCTATAAGATGGACATTATCAATCCCCATTCTAAGTATGTGTAACGAAAGAACAAAGAATAACTAACTAACTTGTAAGGAACTCGCTCAAAGGTTGACACAGCCAAGAAGTGATGCAAACCAGTCATGCTTCAGACTCCACAGAAGTCAAGGGAAACACAGCTTCCCCTGTCTTCACCAACATTCACTAAAATTATGCCAGCAAAAGTTTCCAGAAGCCTATCTCCCCTGTGAGCTCTCCTTCCATATATTTTTCGCTTTCGCTTTCCACTTCAGAGAGATGTCACATGCCTTTAACTTCATAATACCCCTTTGAAAGCATGGACAACATGAGAATATCTTCATTTTATACACAGGTAACTCAAGCACAAATTCCTCAACCTCTCCCATAATGAAAAGCTCTTTGAAATAGTCTGATACATGAAGTCGGGAATTTGGAGGAAGCCAAAAGGAAAAAAGAATGCAAAGGCATAATATCAAAAAGCAAAACTTTAAAAGGGACATCTCACTACTAACAGCTAGAGAGACATCCAAGGCCACTGATGTGTAATATGCCCCTACAGAAATACCCTTCTCCTGGAGCCTGGAATTCAGAGGGAGCCTGAGAGCTGCACAAACAGCACTAAAACCAATCTACACACAACTACTTAGCAGCCTGCCCAGGCCCTTCACACGGAAGGCCATCTATGCGTGTCTGCTGGACTAAAACGAGTGTTTTAGTTTAAATACGGCGGTGAGAGGTCCCAGGGAACAAACTGTGACCCACCGCTCCACTGATAAGGAGGCATCGAGAGACCTCTTCCGCGCAGTTGACGAGAGTCAGCCCACTCTGGATCGCGGGTCCCGGCGCGCCATCACGTCCAGCGCTCCAGTTGGGCCATTTGGCCTAGGCCGCAGCGACCAGAGGCGTTTGCTCCTCACACCCCAGCTCCCAGCGACCTCCTCTCGCACTTCCTTCAAATAATCTGGTTCCATCAGTTCCCAGGACCCAGCACCACACGTCTCAGGCCCTCGCTGCCCAAACCTCGCCCTGAAGTCCTGCACGGAGCCCCCTGCCCCACACCAGCCCCAGAACGCATCCCAGGCCAGGCATCAAGCCACCCTGCGCCCCTCCCCGCCTGCAGTGAGAGAGCGAGTGCCGTGACCCCTGACCTTGCCTACCCCTTACCTTAACAACTCCGCAACCACCTGACACGCTGACCCTGCGCCGGCGACTCCATAACACCACAGCCTGCGCCAAGCTGGCCAACCCCCTGCCCTCCCTGCGATTGGCCGATAGGACGGCAGCCACACATTCCTACTGGGTAGATTCCCCGCCGCCGCCGTTCGATTGGCCAGCCGACCACACGAGGCTCCGCCCACATAAAGAACTGGCTAGAGGCGGGCCCCTAGCCTGGGGGTCCGGCTACATCCTACCGGGCTGCTTCTTTCGATCGTCCCACTCACGGGGCGCACGGATTTAGAAGCTCCGAGAGGCCGGTGGTCTGAGGACAAATAAGACTCCTGGCCATAGTTCGCCGCGACCTCACGTCAGGTACTGACAATCAATTCCTTTTCTTCTGGAGGCCACCCTATAAAGTATAGCCATCCAGCAGGACTACTTCCTGTCACCCCCAGAGCCACATCATAGTATCTGCTGCCCCACCAAGAGCACCACGCACCTGGGAGGAACCGCGAAACATCAGCTAGGGTAGCCAGTTCGACTGCCTCAGCTGTGCTGCTCCCAAGCCCCAGTTGTTTTCCTCCATCCCACTTAGCTCCCTCGCTTCTCCCACGATTTGATCCCTACCTATCCAAAAGCAATCCCACTCCATCCCCAGCCTCAACCTCACAGCCGGCTAGAGACTTTTGCTTTGAAGGTGACTGTCAAACTGGTGAGTAGGGAGAACAAATGGTCTGAAAAGTCACCCTCATTTTCTACAATGTCATTTAAAGCTACCAAAAAAAGTCTTAGACACACCTCCACCACCGTTTACGGCATTAAAGATAACCGAGCTTCTTTCTTCAAGTAAAACACTGCTAGGAGAAAATTTTATTCGTTAGTAGGAGAGTCCAAGAGATGAGGAAAGGCGGGTGAACTACAAAGAGAAATATACACATAAAGTGCAAAGTAAAAACAAGCTCGGACACCAGAATCAAACCAAATACAAAAACAAAATTGGGCCAAGCATCATCCGCTTCCTGGAGCAGGTTAGTTTCTATACAGAATTTCTCCTGGAGAGAAAAGAAAATGCACAAATTAGTTCTGAGAATCTCTCTACAACGCATCTGTAGAGTTTCAGAAAGGCTTGACAAAGTCCCTCCAGAACAGAACCTTTCCTCTGGGAACTTCTGCTAAAACTAGAAAATAAAATGGCTGGAGCAGTTCTTGTCCCCCTTCCAGGTGTGCTCGGTTGAGCAGCTTCCCTGGGCTGTTGCATACCAGCTGGCTACTTACTTAGCTCACACTGTGGAGCTGCATCTGTCCTAAGCTGCTTCTTCCCCATGGTGCAGAACTGGTTTGACTTTTCCCAGTGCCAGCTCCTTTATAAATGAAGACAGGTGCACCTCCCTCACACAGATAAGGGCAGGCACTTTAGGCTGCCCTAAGCTTCACAGCATTGGTAAAGAGTGGCATTGAATTTCAAGAGGCAAACCACACCCTCCAAAGCATAATCAAATTTCATCTTTGAACTGCCTTAAAAAGGGAAGCATATGTATCTGCCACTCCTAGATATTGATTAACAATTTCTTGAGTTTAAAGTTTTAATTCCAAGATTTCATTTCTGTCCCATTTGGCAGGAGCATGAGGTGGTGGGGCTCTGGGTGCCAGTGGAATAAAGGAGCAGAGTAAGACTTCCCTTCACAGCTCCCCTTGGAGTGAAGCTGGTTCAGGCATTTGTACCAAAGGTACAAGTGCACTAGGACTCTGCTCCACTGAGACAGGAGGTGAAACCTATTAATGCCACACCTGACAGTCCACATGTATTTTCCACATAGGTACGTGCAGCACTGATGCAATTACAAGGAGTCTCAGAGTGTGGGTGAAAATCCCGCCCTGTCTATCCCTTGGGATCTGAAGGAACCGCTGGCATCAGCCTGGTCAATCAGTGAACCACAGGCAGACAGCAGAGCCAGGCAAACTCAGGACTCGGTGCCTGATGGAAAAGAAAAAGATAGGAAAACCCTGAGACTGCAAGAAAGAAATACAGGGCAAACCCAAGATTTCTCATTCTGGGAGCAGGGGAACTGAAAGAATGGGGACAATATGCCTCAAGGAAATGATTTAGAAGGCAAACCTGAAAAGACAATGCAGTGTACTGGGGTGAGATACAGGAGAGTAGAAAGCAGTTGTTGCTTTCAAGTGGCAGGCAGTTTTCTAGTAGTTTTAAGGAAAATCTGCTTAGTAACATAAAAACATAACACCTTAGAATAGAAAGAGCAGTAATCAATTCAAATTAGGCAAGGTAGGCTTCCAGCAAGCAGCTCTGGTCCTATACAGAACAATCATTGAATCAGTAGAGGGAAAGAGGGATTTTCTGCCCAGGACTCCAGATAAAGATCTCTTTGCTTCAGGCTTCTCTGAGGCAGGAAAGTCATATCACTACAACCTGACCTCTCTACTGTCCTTTCTCTCTATCAGATAAGTTGCCAGAGGCAAAGCTGTCTCTACACATTGGAGGGGAGGGGCTGCTGATCCCCCTTCAGGGAAATGTAGAAGCACCTGTAAAATCACCCATGACTGAGGTCTTGGAAGGAAAAGGCCTATTTGTTTATTTATTTATTTATTTATTTTTTGAGACAGAGTCTCACTCTGTTGCCCGGGCTAGAGTGCCATGGCCTCAGCCTAGCTCACAGCAACCTCAGACTCTTGGGCTCAAGCAATCTTTCTGCCCCAGCCTCCCAAGTAGCTGGGACTACAGGCATGCACCACTATGCCCGACTAATTTTTTCTATAGATATTTTTAGTTGGCCAATTAATTTCTTTCTATTTATAGTAGAAATGGGGTCTCCCTCTTGCTCAGGCTGGTTTCGAATTCCTGACTTGAGTGATCCACCTGCCTCGGCCTCCCAGAGTGCCAGGATTACAGGCGTGAGCCACTGCACCTGGCCAAAAAGGCCTATTTGAACTTAGGAATTCTAAAAATAAGAATAGATTTTATAATTAGACTACCATAGCCCCACTGTTTCCTTTAGTCACCTGTTTCCCCCAACATACTTTTGTGTATGTCCATACACATTACACTTTTGTCCTTGAGTGTCCACTTCTCAGAGGAACCTATGTTAACTGAACTCTTTTTTTTTTGGAGACAGAGTCTCACTCTGGTTGCCCCGGCTAGAGTGCCGTGGCGTCAGCCTAACTCTCAGCAACCTCAAACTCCTGGGCTCAAGCGATCCTCCTACCTCAGCCTCCCGAGTAGCTGGGAATACAGGCATGAGCCACCATGCCTGGCTAATTTTTTCTATATATTTTTTGTTCGCCACTTTATTTCTTTCTATTTTTAGTAGAGATGGGATCTTGCTCTTGCTCAAGCTGGTCTCAAACTCCTGACCTTGAGCCATCTGCCTGCCTCGGCCTCCAACTGACTTATTATGTACCAAACCCCGCATTACACATTCCACAAACATGCATTAATACTCACAATAAACTCATGAGGCAGGAACTATTATTATCTTCATTTTGCTAATTAGAATTTGAGGTGTAAGAGGTTCCGTAATTTGCCTAAGGACACAGAGCTAGTTAAGGGCAAAGCCAGGCTTTGAACAGAAATGTGTTAGACCTGGGAGCCAGCACTCACCTCCCACACCATACTGCCTCCATCTTGGACACCTAAAACAATTACCTTCTACTCCAATCTAGGTCTGTCTCTTTCATAAAATCTTAGCAGTGTCGACCAAGTAAAATTCCACATTGCCACAACAGACATTAATATACATCTGTATCATGTGTGCCTTTTATTTCAATAGGAAGCCTCCAGCGGCATATATTTGGTCCATTGACTGAGAGGCATGACTTTATTGATAACCCACCATATACCTAGCATGGGCTGGGCGCTACAGATGCAAACACAGATCAGATAAGCACAGTCCCTTACAGTGATTGTTGTTTTTGTGCTTTCTTCTCCCACTAAATGGTGACCTTCTCAGTAGGGGAGATTCTTGTCTTAGTACACTTGGTCCTAGCAAAGGCCAGACATATAGGAGGTGTCACATAAATGTATTATTCTTTTTGTTATATGTTATGGCTGCTGGGCAATAAAGAATAATTAGGATCTTTCTGTTTATACTTATGTAGCTGTTTTCAAAGTTGAGTCTAGTCTATCCTTAAAATATTCCTCTCTTGACTCTGCCAGTTTTGTAAACTGTCCTGTGGGAAATGCTGGAATGCTCATCCCAGGACCCCCTTTCAGAATGAAAGGCTTATCACCCCAGCCATTTGGATTGAGAGTGCAGCTGCCAGACAGCCCTCAGCTGTCAAGTCATATCCCCTCCCCAAGCAGGCCTCATCCATTAACGGATTTATGTGGGGGTGTAAAAACTCATCCCTCTAAGACCAACCTGGGATATGTCTGAAGGTTGGCTGGGCCTTCCTTCTGCATCACAGCTCAACTTCTCCTGCCCAGCCTTGCCTCCTTCTCTTTCCTCAGTGTTGATCCCAATATCACTACCCAATAAACTTCCTGCCTCTGACTCAGAGTTGGCTTGGCTTCATACTTGTTCCAGTAACCCAAAATGACAGTCTAAAAACATGACCTGCACTCACTCTACCTCCTTACTATTCATTTATTTCCTTGTGCTTTCAGATCTACTCTGGAAATCACTTTCTCATTGGCTAAATGAGATCATTGTTAGCCATGTACAGTCCAAACAACTCTTCCAGTTTCTCGGTGTTTGCCCTGTTATGCTGATCCTCTTACAGTTCTTTCTTTGGTTTCTAACATACTACGCTCTCTTGGTAGTTCTATTTGAACTGCTCTTTTTCTACATCCTTCATCTGCTACTTTTCTTCCTCCTACTCCGTAAATGTAGGCATTCCTTAGGTTCAAGCCTTAGTCCTCTTTAAATATTACACAATCTTTCTGCAATTTCAATGTAATAATACAGGAACCCACTGAGCATTAGAGATATTCATGGGACAGGATGGAATAATGGAAAGAACAATGTCTTAAGGGGAAAACAGACCTGAATTCCAGGTCTAGCCAGCTGGGAAACCATAGGTAAGTTATTAAATGTTTGTGTTTCATTTTTTCCTCTGAAATAGTTATAATATCAGCCTCACAGCGATATGCTTTTAACTCCACAAATGCACCAGTGTTCTCTCTTGTCTCCCTGTCATTTTACATGTTGTGCCTATGCTGGAACATTCTTGCTCTGCCTATCCTTCACTTGGCTAACGCCTACTCACCACTGTGGTCTCACCTTAGATGTTCCTTCCTCCAAAACTCCCTCCATGACCCCAATGTGAAGGGGACGAACATCTTCTATGTAGTCCTATAACACGCTGTGCTGTCCCCTTCCCTTTCCACAGCACCATCCCACAGAATTGCTCTTGCT